AACCCGGAGGAGGCCAACCCTGTGCGATCTAACGGGTCTATGGGAGGTAATTGGCAGCAGGCGGTCTCTCAAGTACAATTATAGAATAGCCAATAATTAATTGTAAACCAGTATATTATTTGGAAGGTATTACAGAGTCTTCAATGTACGGCCAAAATTGAGCCCAACTGTTGCTAAGTGAAACAGTTGTTAAGTGAATTTTGCCCAATTTTTCCACCTTTCTTGCCCACGTTGTAAAGGGAATCACTGCAGTTAAGTTAGCAACATGGTTAAATGACTCTCATTTCCCCATTGACTATACTTGTCAGAAGATCGCAGAAGCTGATCACATGACCCTAAGGCACTGTAACCGTCATAAGTATGAATCAGTTGTCAAGCATTTGATCACATGACCATAGGGATGCTGCAGTAGTGATGTGAAAAATGTGTATAAATCACTTTTTCAGTGTCATCCTAACTTCTAACAGTCACTAGATGAGTTGTTGTAAGTGGAGGACTCCCTGTATAGGGTAATTGTGCTTTTACGTGGCCATTGGCATAAAAAAAATTCAGGAGGGATAAGCTGTTAAATAGGCCAGAAGTCAAGAAAGGACATCCAAGCAGAATATTGCAAGTGTCGTTTGAAAACCGCCATTCCAACTTGTTGAAAATAAACCCAAACCTATATTTGTTTCTTAAAAACATTTTAATATTCAGCCTGTTTTAACATTCTGTTGATTCACATACACTGGTTTCAATGTGATTTAAACCACCAAGAAAGTAGGTTGAGGATTTTAACCTGTTTACCCAGAATATTCCACTTGAAGATTATTTCCATAAAAAATGTGCTTTGCAATTTACCGTTTGTTGTTGATCAATTTGGTTATGAAATCTAAGATACCATTCTTAATTACAATCTGAATACCATTGGATATACTACAGAAAGAGTTAAACAAGCTTCAGGCTTTGGAAGAAACTGTGAAGGTGCTACTCTGAAGATGATGTTCAAATGTCTTTATAATGATGCAATGCTCATAAGTAGATGCATATTCAGAGTGCTCTTAGCAATAGCAGTTAGACTTATATACCGCTTCATAGGGTTTTCAGCCCTCTCTAAGNGGAACTCTGGGAGTTGAAGTCCACAGGTCTTAAAAGTTGCCAAGGTTGGAGACCACTGATTTAAAGGATGCAAATAAGAACGACAAAAATTAAAAAATATTGTTTATTTATTTTAAATAATTAAGTTGCATGGTTAAATTGTCCCGTTGGAGAGTTGGCCCTTGCAAGTTGTCCCATTCCAAGAGCAGAAGCCTTATTCTTTTTTTTAAAAACCATTTTGTTTTATTTTTACTAAACAAACAACACACGCAAAAATGTAAGGTAAGGTAAGATGGATATATACTTACGTAAAACTGTCCTTCTCACTCATTCTTTTTTTATATAAACATTTTTATTTTTATTTTTACTAAACAAACAACGCACACAAAAATGATCATCTTACATTACATGCAGTTATTTTAAGGCTTTTCAACAGATGCTAATATGCACGCTCACCTGTGCTCTGAATTACATTTTTCTTAGAAACTGAAAAGTGTTGCGCACTTCAGTCAAATCAAATTTGAATGGTGAGAAAATTGTGATTGCAATTTCGTTGACCAGCATCTTACTCAAAAAGAAAATTTCTGATGAAATGTGACATTTATGGCTGGCTGGAAACTTCTTACAAACTTTTCGTATAAAACGGAAATGAAGTTATGATTTATAGTTTCAGTGATTAGACAGAATAGATTATAGAAACAAGGATTGTTTTGTAAACATAGTGCAAGAGATAAATTTGTAATTGTACTCATAGCTGGTGTAAAGATCAGAAGGCACCTTTTCATCTCCATTTTTCTTTCACCTTGTTTTCTCTTTCTTGCATCTTTAACTTTCCCTTTGATTATTTTCTTCCTTTCTTTTTCTTGCTTCACATTAGTGTTATTTTTGTCTTTTTTTAAAAAAAAAAGGGAAAGGAAAAAAAGAGAATGAAAGATGTGGAGCGTTAAGTCGAAAGAAAATCTGGCTGTATCCTAACAAGGAGGAGCTAAGTTCAATTTAAAGATGTTATCAATTTTCTATTCTTTTTTCCAATATATTTTAGACTGTTTTTGTTAAAGATTTATACCGTGTATGGGTTCTGGGAAGGCTGGGGGGGGGTTGGGGGGGAGGGGGGGATGTACATTAGGCTTGACGAGGGGTGTTAGAT